GAAAATGCCCAACCCCCTCTCCTCTCTATGGAAGATACTTCTAGTTCAGCCTCTGTGCGGCTTCCTTTGCTAAGAGCTTCTCCTTCGCCTTGGTCCTGGCCTGTGATTTCGAGCCCATGATACCACCTCCCCACTTCTTTCTGTACTCATCGTACTTGTCGTTGAAGTTGGCCTGAAAATCATTCAAAAAATGAGGCAATGTATATTGTGTGCATTTACAAACCCTATCAGTAAAATGACAATATGGACATGTATATCATGTGCATGATTCTTTTGATATACCTTGATAGCCTCCAGAATCTTGCTGAACTCCAACTTATCCTCATTCTTAACAGTGGCTCTGAAATTGATAAGAAATAAGAAGTTTCAGAACTTTAACATCAACATAATACAATAACAAATAAAAGTATATATGGAGCATCAGTTGGAATCAGTTGGAATCAGTTGGATAAATAACCTCTCTGTCTCACAATTTTTAGCAGGAGACCACAAGCCATTAGGAATAGAATCATCATCAGCATTAAATATCTCCCTTGAACAAGAGGTTTCTTCACAAAGTGCATTAACGGCAGCCTCAGCTGCGGCAGATGTAATATGTGGACCAACCATGGTTGTTATGGCAGCTACCTAATGGAAACAACCTTAGTATTTTGTTATGCATATTAAGATTACAGGAAATGAAAAGAAACAGAACAAAGGACCACAGTTGACATATGATAGTATAAAAGCATATTTGTAAAGTAAAAGAAACAAATAATGAAATCAACCTCTTAACATTTTTCTTTCTTCTTTCATACGTGCATGTATAGTGTTTTCAGCCATGATATGTCAAAGCATTGGCAAACTAAACTGGACCCCTAATAACCAGTTTAGTAATTTAATTGGTATCATAAAAATATAATTGAACAAGAACTGATGTCCGAAAATATAGCTCACCAAGAAGTTAAACATTTATAAATCAGGCCAGTAAGGTACGTACCTGTTTAATCAGTGAACTACTAGCATCCGAAAGGGAAGCAATGCGCTGCCTTTTCAAAGGAGGGCCTTGATCCAAAATATCTCCATTCTGCTTGCTGTCATCTGTCTGCTCATGCAACTGACCTTTGGTTTTGACAGTCTCTTGACATTCAGATGAAGATAACTGAATGTGCTCTGAAGAGATCAAATTACCACTAAAGCCACTAGGATTGCCTTTTCTGTAGGCAGAACCCAACACAAGCTCCCCAAAAGGCAGATCAATGAGCTTAGCAATACAATCAAATTTAGTCTTGGTCTGAACATTTTGAGCAACAAGCTCCCAATCATCCCCGTGCTTCAGAACAGATTCTAAAAGTAGTAGAGTTTCAGATTCAGTCCACTCCACTCCGTTAGTACCACTCTTTTCAATTGCCTCATTTAACTTGAAATCATCCCTCAATTTGTTCTCCCCATAGTTCCCATTTTCAAAACATTTTATGCAAATTAGAAAATCACCCTGCCAAATATGATAAACAGATACAGAAGTTAAATTAAGTTTCAGTACAGAAAACTAAGTACAAACAAATTTCCTACAGAACAAAAATTGAAGAACCAGTGGGGATCTCCATCTTCCTGCACAAGGCTGGAAGCCATACAACCAACTCGATGGGGTCCACATCATGAGCAATAACAACTAGCTGAGCCTTATTCTGTGAGACAGGTAACCATCTCATTGGTTAGCATAACTCATATGCATTTAACAAGATTCACTAGAAGGAACAAATCAATATGATGCACGCAGTGATAGATTAGCAACCTGCTCAATCAGGTAGGTTACGTGGTTGAGTCCATATTTCACAACAATTGGCTTCTTTGCCTCAACAGTTTTTCCTTCAGTTTCAGCTTGAGCTCTTTTCAGCAGACGTTCCTTCTTTGCTGCTTTGTCTTCAGGTCTGTACTTGAGTAGCAACTTGAAGAGACTTGTAGCTGCAGGCAGTGTTACAAATATTGAGAAGTGATGTGTGGTAATGACTTATAAGAGTTTATCTAGAACAATAATTATTTGAAGAACACTAGCATAAAAATCATAAAATACTTCAACGAACACAATCAAAAGATAGCTCCACGATGTATGTTTCTTATGCTAAAAACATGATAAAGATCCCATGGCAGAACATGAAGGGATAGTCATTAACAACTCAAATCAGTAAGTTTAGACCAACAAATTCTTGGTTAAACTATGAGTAGCATTATATGCCTATCTATGAGAAGGAATGCGGAATAAGTGTGACAGTGGCATAGAGGTAGAAAACCGTGTGCATTAAGATAATATTTTCCTTTTGCAGTGGAAAACCAGTAGGAAATTAACTTACGTTCACCTATCCAACAAAACATTTTCAAAAGATGTTAAGAATCTAAGTATTCTGACCAAAAAAATGAATACAAGTATTTGGATAGCCTTGTTCAAACAAATCCATTTAAAACAATCCTAATAATTGAAATTACTCAAGCAGAAACTAGCATGAAAATCATTCAAAAAATGAGGCAATGTATATTGTGTGCATTTACAAACCCTATCAGTAAAATGACAATATGGACATGTATATCATGTGCATGATTCTTTTGATATACCTTGATAGCCTCCAGAATCTTGCTGAACTCCAACTTATCCTCATTCTTAACAGTGGTCAAACAAAGTGCAGCCGCTGTTTTCTTGTGGAGAATCTGTGAGCACAGAAACATATATATATTTAGATATTTCACGAAACAGAGTCGTACCACATCCTTTCAAGAATACCATAAAAAATCACTGAGTTATACCGCTCCCAAGCGTGATTTCCCCTTCACAATGCAGTATGGGATCTCCATCTTCCTGCACAAGGCTGGAAGCCATACAACCAACTCGATGGGGTCCACATCATGAGCAATAACAACTAGCTGAGCCTTATTCTGTGAGACAGGAAACCATCTCATTGGTTAGCATAACTCATATGCATTTAACAAGATTCACTAGAAGGAACAAATCAATATGATGCACGCAGTGATAGATTAGCAACCTGCTCAATCAGGTAGGTTACGTGGTTGAGTCCATATTTCACAACAATTGGCTTCTTTGCCTCAACAGTTTTTCCTTCAGTTTCAGCTTGAGCTCTTTTCAGCAGACGTTCCTTCTTTGCTGCTTTGTCTTCAGGTCTGTACTTGAGTAGCAACTTGAAGAGACTTGTAGCTGCAGGCAGTGTTACAAATATTGAGAAGTGATGTGTGGTAATGACTTCTAAGAGTTTATCTAGAACAATAATTATTTGAAGAACACTAGCATAAAAATCATTAAATACTTCAATGAACACAATCAAATGATAGCTCCATGATGTATGTTTCTTATGCTAAAAACATGATAAAGATCCCATGGCAGAACATGAAGGGAATAGTCATTAACAACTCAAATCAGTAAAACAGACCTACAAATTCTTGCTTAAACTATGAATAGCATTATATGCCTATCTATGAGAAGGAATGCGGAATAAGTGTGACAGTGGCATAGAGGTAGAAAACTGTGTGCATTAAGATAAAATTTTCCTTTTGCAGTGGAAAACCAGTAGGAAATTAACTTACGTTCACCTATCCAACAAAACATGTTCAAAAGATGTTAAGAATCTAAGTATTCTGACCAAAAAACAGAATATAAGTATTTGGATAGCCTTGTTCAAACAAATCCATTTTAAACAATCCTAACAATTGAAATTACTCGAGCAGAAACTAGCATGGTAGTCTGGTCCATACCAAGGTTCTTGTCCAGAGTCTTGGTGAACTGGTTAAGTGCTGGTGGGACCTTCAAACGTTGCTTGAGGATCCTCTTCTTCCTCTGGATACGGACAACCTTGGGCCATTTCACAAATCGGTGCAAATCTCTCTTTGGAGGCAAAGCACCGCCGATCCCAAACTGCTTTGTACGCTTTTCAAATAGTGGGTTCACAACCTTCTCCTAAAGACAGCAATGAAAAAAGACATTCAAACACTTGACAACAGACAACAAACTACAACCAAATTTAAGTTTACAAGTCTGCTTCATAAATAAAATTAGAAAGTGAAAAGCCATAGGAAATACAGTTTTCTTCTTTGCAGCAGCGGCCGGTTTTACACCTCTTTTGGGAGCCTGCAAAACGAAATAAAATGAGACAATTGAAACAAACAAGAAGTAGCTAATATTCTAAGTATGTCACAAATTTAATTGGGGTTACAACACAATTACGTTTAATAATTGATACACCAACAATCCCATCCCAAAAGTGTTTTCAGAAATATTGAAGTCAGCCTTACATTTATGGATCTTCCCAACAATAGAGGCTAAAACAAGCTTCTTAAACAAACAAGATAAGAGGTGGGGATAAAAAAAACAACACTCAAATCAGTTTAATTGGATGAAGATATGAGTGAGAGAGATAGAACAAAGCCGCATAATTTTTCTCGTTTAACATAATGCATCAAATGTGAAAAACAATATTCCATCATCTAATAAGCTTCATCAGCTTAAATTCACATGAACAAACACCAGGATTTTACAAATGAAATCTTATTCCAATCCCATGAGATTGTATGAAATTCTGCATTTCACGCCAACAACAGAAATCATCAAAGCCACAAACATACAAGTCAAAAACAGTTGCTCGCAGTGCAGCATAATATTCAAGCATGCATAATAGAATTAGGGTTTGCACTATACCATTTTCGGGTGGTCAAGATCTTCAGTGGCCTTGGGGTTTCTGGAACGGCGAATGAAACCCTAAACTAAGCTGGAGCTCACGAGTGGGGCTAAGTGTAGACTATATATAGGTGGCCCTTTTCCACATTCTGGGTTTTGATTCGAATAGTTGGATCCGACCCGATCTTCCTGCAACTATGGGCTTGAGGTTATGTTGATCTTTGGACAAGCCGCACTGTGGGCCTTACTTTTTCTTTTGTATTGGTCCGACCCGAAATACCATCCATGATCCGAAAACATGGGCGCTCGCGGGTCCCGTGGCCCTCAAAAAATAAAGTCGGAAATTCCACAACTGTACAAGTGTAAAGAGCAAGCATAAAGTACGATGCAGTGCAAGTGTTTTTCCTTAGGTGGGTGGGAAGTACGTTAAATTTATACCGTGGTTATTTGACTCTAATAACTTGTGATGAAACACTAATGCGTTCTTAACTAAATATTATGATATAGTCTCGAACACTGCATGCACTATCTAGACTTGCGTGTGATTTAATGAGAGTTCTCCTAACTTTGCCTGATTACAAAGTTGTCATATAAATAATTATATACGACAACAATCTATGTTTCGGTGCTTCTTTGTGACATCATGGAAAAACCTTCAAAACTCAACATCACTAAGCCAAGTCTCATCACCATAGCTTATGAGAGCTCTACCATACTTAGCCTCCATGGCGCTTTGCAAAATACAAATTATATTCTTCTAGGGAAAAAGTAAAAATGGAGCAATAGTTAATCACAAAATGTCTATGAACCCAATATGTTCAAATTGTTTAATATTCGAAAATAGTTATTTCAAAATATGTATGTCACGATAAAAAATAAAAAAATTCTTTTAGTTGGGAAACATCTTATCTAATAAAAGTATGACAATACTTTATCAAGTGTCATTCCTCCTCAACACATGATGTGGCCTCCTTAAAAAAGACACATGTATCTTTTCTTTTTCCTTTTTTTGTTTCACTGACTCTCTATCTCTCTCTCTCTCTCTCTTCTCACCTGCTCTCTCCTCTCATCTCTTCGTCTTTGTCTTTTCCCCTGCAATTCTTTAGAATAAATTTTCAGCCCCTTTCTCTTCCCGATCATTGTCATTTTCCATCCTCGGCGTCAACGTTAACCACCATCTTCCATCTCCTCGTCATCTCCCCCTCCATTATACGTTCTCTCTCCAATCACTATTCCTCCATCTTCATCATCACCCAATCAGTCCTCCTCTATCATCATCACCCAAACACTATGTATTGATTTCTCTCCTTTTTAATTTTTAATTTTATTGAGCTATTTATTGGGGAATTCTATAAATTTTGGGAATGGTGGAAGAACATGGTACGACATGGGGTATAAAAAATTTATCCGGTGTCACTCTCTCTCCTATTTGAGTTGTAGGGAAATAGATGGATAGATGAGAGAGCACAAGAGGAGAGGAGATTGGATGAGAAGAGAGAGAGAGATAGTCGGTGAAACGGTGAAAGAAAAAAAATAAAACAAAACAAAAATAAAAACAAATGTCGTTTTATAAGAGGCCACATCTTTTGTTGAGAAGGAACGACTCCTGATATATAAGGAGCCAAACATTGTCCATAAAAGTAAGGTTTGAAAATGTTACATGCATCCCAAATTTTAAATAAATGAATACTTGGTAGAGGTGTTGTGTGTATGTTGATGTGAACTAATATTAAAGCAACCTTGCCTCCTCGTGATTTTTACATGCATGAGCCAACTGCCTAAGTGAATAAACATATTGAGCCTTTTTTTATATGAAATATGAATCCATGAATGTTTGTTTGGTTTATCATTTATATTAATTAAATTCACATATAAATGACTTGCAAAGCACTAGTTTTTGGGAATTTGATTGAATGGAAATGGATGATAATCAACATTCAAATAACAAGTGAGATTGAGTTAAAATCTCCTTTCTTCACATTCATATGTTGTTGTCACATGCTCTTATGAACAAATTGGAATTCTAATATTGACCATGCTTAAACTCAGTTATTCTAAACTTGTTCTAAGAAAATAATACAATTTTATCATTATAATTTGAGCTCGTAGATTTCAAAACAAAAACACACAACAAGTAATCAATTTGGTACCCACAGGCGCGCGCAACTAACACTAGCATTTCCCTATGAGGCAATAATACTAATGTACTTTCTCAACAATGATATGAACATTTTTTAGCAAATCCACCTTTGCAAAACAAGGGATATATGCCTCCTTATGAACTGGAACTAGCCACATAGCCACATAGCCACATAGTCACATAGCCCATGGCCAATATGACCAAATCATAATGGACACGTGGCAAAATTAGCTTTGTTTGTACGTACGTAACGTACCCAGTGAATTTCTTTTTGGTGGTGAGTGAGAGAGAGTAGCTGACTAGCTAGTAGTAGTAGTAGTAAAAGGACAGAGAAGCCCGCTCTCAAAAATTTGGCATGAAATTTTGAAACCCCCCACCAAACCCTCCCTCCCTTTATATTTCCACAGCCCGCCCGAAATCACCCCGAAAAATTAAAACCCCCCAATTTCAATTCCCACCAATTTCACAACCCCAATTTCTAATTTTTAATTTCACTTATCGTCTTTCTCTTAGATTTACATACCTGTAGGCTGCTCATAGGCTCCTCCTCTCAGCTCCCAGCTCTGTGATTTCTAGGGTTTCCATTTCCCAAAACCACAAATCTAGGGTTTTAACAATTATTTTTGTCCAATTCTCGATCTATACTTGATTGCTCCGTACCCATGGCGACCGAAGCCCTAGAGGACAAGAAACCGGAAGACGAAGCTCCTCTTGAAGAGAAGCAAGAGGCTGAAGCCGAAGTGGAGCCTAAAGAAGACCAAGAAGAACAAGAGAAGGAGGAAGAAAAAGAGGAAGAGAAGGAGAATGCTCCGGAAGCTTCGGAGAAAGTGACTGAAAACGAGGAAGAGCAAGTTGGTGAAGAAGGCGAAGAGGAGAAAGAGAAAGAAAGTGAAGAAACTCCGAAGAAGGCGAAGAGGGGCCGAAAAACTAGCTCCAAAAAGGAGGAGAAGGACAAGACCGAGCCCAAGAAGCGGGGCCGAGACTCGTCAGGGAAGAAGTCGAGTAAAGAAGCTGAGGCGGAGAAGAAAGAGAAGGAGCCGGTAACGCCGGTGAGTGAGAGGCCCACAAGGGAGAGGAAAATAGTTGAGCGCTACTCAGCTCCTGAGAGTGGAAGGTCTTCGGCGAATAAAGCTTTGAGCATTGAGAAGGTATGGTGGTGAGAAATGGTGCCTTCTCATTTCATCTTTGTCGAATTTTTGATAGCCTAATTTTTGTTGATTTGGTTTTTGTGATTTCAGGGTCGCGGTACAGAACTTAAGAACATTCCAAACGGTATGAGTTTTTTTTCTTCCGTTTTTTGTTTTTGCTTTTGATAAATTAGTTATTGTTAAATTTGTTGTTAGTATGATTCAATTGCTAAAACGTTAATATTTTTGCATGTTGGTTTGCCGTGACACACAATGTCAGTGACACTGAATGTTCTCTGGCCTTTCTGAAAATGACCCAAAATGGGTTGCTATTTGTTTTAAGTAGATCTTTCATGTTTCCTTTCATTTCATTGGCATAGTTATGTTTTTGCGTACCAATTTGGTGTTGGTAGTATTATTGAATCTAGAGTCCTCACAAAGGATCTTGGATTTAGGTGTTTGGCACTTGTAATGTGGTGGCTGCTTTAGTTTTACTAGTTTTGAAGTTAGAACATTACATGTGGCCTCGTAATTCATATATTGTTTTACCTGAACTCACGTTTTAATGTGATGCTGGTTCTGTATCCATGACTGTCCCAGTTATGATGGACTGCTGGAATACATTTTATCTTCCAATTAAAGAACCACTTCTAAGAGCACTCCTTTTCCATGATCAATCCTTTTCATTTTTTCAATGTGTTTTGGTATTTCACCTTCCTCATTATTGACAGTCTAAGTTTGGAATTCTAAAGCCTTTTGTAGTTGATACCCATCTTCTCAAAGTAGTGGCTTTTTTTGAGTTGAACTGGTGTCAAATGGCAAAGATGAGCCTTGAGTTAAGACAGCCAACTAAGCGATGCTTATTTGGCTGCTATGTACTTAGGATTAAAAGGAAAATAAATAAGTTGGAAGACAAGAAACAAACTTTTGTGATATGAATTTCATTGTGTTGTTCCTCGAGTTGTTGTAATACCAAATTTTCATATTGAAACAAGGGACTGGAGCTTATATCCATGAGTTAGAATACTAAAATGATTTTAGTTCTGAATCCAAATTATGGAACACCACTGTGCATTCAATCTTATTTACATTGCTCTTGGTGTTATAGCTGAAGTGCGACCTGAAGTTGGATGATTTAGTGGCAGTTATGATCTCTATAGTTTATTTTTATGTAGTTCTAATTGGTTATTTTCTTTAGCTAGATGTCACAAATTTTCACATGTAGGATTACTGCACGTTGAGAGGTGGAAAAAGTATATAGCTCTTGTTATATGTGAATTTACTATGCAGACAAAGTGTTATTTACTTCTATTAAAATTTCTTGTTACAGCAGCCTGGCCTATTTTTTGTCTGATATTGTGAACTGTTTCAGTGGCTTTCAAGTTGTCAAAGCGAAAAATTGACGACAACCTGCAATTACTTCACACAATTCTCTTTGGGAAAAAAGCAAAGGTTAATTTTTGGTTACATTTTTAATTCAGTGATTTCAGGTGCTTTGCCCTCATAATATCTGGTAGTTTTTTTCAATAAAAAAAATAAAATATTGTGGTGTGTTTTAATTGGTTATGTTCTTGTGCAGGCTCATAATTTGAAGAAGAATATAAGTCAGTTTTCAGGTTATGTGTGGACTGAGAATGAGGTATTGTATGTTATGTGTGTTCTCCTTAATCAATTTTTATTATTTGTGCGACTTCTTCTTGTATATTCATATTATACTAGAGCCTCTGTTGTATTCATCTTTATTTTTCTGTTTTCAGCAGGAAAAACAGAGGACAAGGGTAAAGGAGAAGCTTGATAAGTGCGTTAAAGAAAAATTAGTGGATTTTTGTGAGTTTCTTAATATTCCGATTAAGGCT